CACACAGACAGGCACACTTTCACAAATACCCTTATGCGCGCACACACACACACACACACACACACACACACACACACTCAGATCAGTTGTTTGCTGAGTATAGAGTTTCAGTTTTGCAAGATGAAGAAATTCCGTAGATTGGTTGCACAACAATGTGACATACTTGCCACCACTGAATTGTACACTGAAAAATAACTAAGATGGTATATTTTACGTTATGTGTATTTTGCCACAATTACAAATAACAATAATAATAAAGACAGAGGTATTCACGCGAGTGATAAGCACACAAGCGCATTAGTTCACTCTCACGCCTAAGGAGGAAACGGCTTTCCTCCGTGTGTCCTCCTGGAGGGCCCAGCCATGAGGAGACAGCCCTGCAATCCACTGCTCCCCGGGATGGTAGATTAAGGGTGACGGCAAAGCGCTGGCCAGAGGGAACCACGCCCAGGGAAGCTGAAGGAGAAGCTTCTGCCCTCTGGCGCTGGTGCACTGGCGTGGATTCCATCTCTCCTAAAAGAAGACGGAAAGGAGCTCTGTCAGAGGAAGGGTCCTTTCTCAGAAGCCAAGCTCTATTGTGGCAGCGGCTGGGATGGTGCTTTATAAATTCCTTCTTGGGGCTTCGAATATCGTGGTCAGACGTTGTGAAGGCTCCCCTGAGGCTCTGAGAAAGGTGTGAAGGGAGACAGAGGGCCACTCCCTCTCCAACTGTTCACAGCTGTGGCTGCATCGAGATCGTAAACTTTTCGCTCAGCCTGCATTTCATCCTCCCCCGCAGCCCCACCTCCTTCTGGAGTGGAAAGTTTTCCCCCAACTCCTAAGGCTCAAGGGCACTGGAGGAAAAAGTCTCCCCAAGAGAGGGAGAGGTTGAGAGGTTTGGCATCTCTGAGGGCTCGTTGTTATTTATATCCACTCACCTCCCTCTGCCACTGCATCTATAACCAACAAAATCCAGATCCTGTTTCAGCTGGAAAAAAAGCAGTAGGGTCTAGACGTGACTGAGATTTTTGTTTGTTTGTTTGGGATGTGAAGTTTTGCATGTAAATCAAATAGAGTCTGCTGGAAAAGTCATCCCCTGAGCAAAGAGTCCGCTTCCCGGGTATGGCCGAGCAGGAGAAAGATGGTAGCTTATTTGGAGAGAAGAGTGTCCATATCATGTAAGTGAAAACTCAGAATCAAAGAGTCAAATTAAGGGAACTTGGAATCCCTCCACCCCGCACCTCCTGTTTACCTACAACTCCCAAAGGCTGCTACATGTTTCTGACAGGAGCCAGGATCCCTAGGTGATGTGTTCAGGCTTTCTTGCCCTGCCCCTGGAGGACACAACGAGGTATAAATTGCAGCTTTCTTCAAGGTTCAATCAACAGGATGTTGGGATCGTGACCCCTTTGGTTGCAGAGAAGTGGGAAGAGGTGCCAGGGCTTATGCACCCGAGAGGATGCACATCTCCCCAGAGGTCCCATCTCGAGCCCGTGAGGCCAGGGAACGTGGGGGGAAGAGCTCCATTTTCCCAGTGACTTTCCCCCTGGAGTTTCCTCTCTCCAGGCCATGGTTGTGGCCTTACAGCAATGCTGGGAAGGGAGCGAGAGGCACTGGGCGTACTGTGATGAAAGGTCCACTGCTTGATGTGCCAGTCCTGGAACTGTTTGCTCTGAGGTCACCTTGTCTCTGCTCTAATCTGCCTGGGTGGGCGCGGGGAGGCTGTGAAGAAAGGAGTCCCCACCGGAGCCCTGCCCACTCTCCTTAGAGAGGCCTGCTCGCGAGGCTGGCCTGGCTGCATCAGGAGCCTCCAATTTCGGGAGTCGTCCCACCACTCCTTGACCTAGAGGCATGGCGCGAGGTGCCTACGTTGTACCGTCAGTGTGGTTTATGTCGAGCGCCTGCTTCCTCCTGGGAGCCTGGAGACTCGTCCGTGCCAGGCAGAGGGGGCCTCTGTGAGCAGCTCCAATAAAACTCCTGGGCTCTGAGTCTCTGATGGTCTCCCTGGTGACGCCATTTCACACGTGTTGTCACAGTGTGTAGCTGGGGAGTCAAGCATGGGCTGTGCGACTCCAGCGGGTGAGGACCATTGTAACTTTGTACCTGGCTTCCTTTGGCCTTTGCCCCATGTGCTTTTTCTCTTTGCTGATTTTGCTTTGTATCTTCTTACTGTCCTAAATCATAGCGGTGAGGATGACAGGCTGGTGGGTCCACCTTGTGATTCATTGAACCTCAGGTGGTCTTGGGGCCCTTCCCCCCAACACAGGCGTGGTGGCGCCATCTTTGCAGGTTGTGTTTCCCTGACCCCTTCGTTAACTGACTGTAATTGACTGCAGCAAATGGGAGACAGTGGAGGGAGTGAGGACGGAGAAGAAAGAAATGAGCTAGAGGGGTCCTTCCTCCTATGGGAGCCCGGACAGTGTTTCTGGTAAAGGGTGGCGCTCTGGCGGTTCTAGTCTCGGCCACACAACCCCAGCCTGCGTGCCATGACGATGCCACGTCCTCCCTGCTCTTGCTGTGCCTCATCTGCCCCTACTTGGCACCTTGTCTTTTCCATCACCTGTGTAACCAATCTCCTGCGTTAAATTCCCTCTTTTAAAAATACCTCAAGTCATTTTTGTTTTCCTCGCTGAACACCAGCTGCTACATTCCTTAAATACATACACTGTGCCACCTCCATGCCAAGCAAATGATGTTCAGAGACAAGACACCTTAGACCTGAGTCTATGCACCCAGCTGCCCCTGCAGAGGTCACATTTTCCCACCCAGCAAAGGCTCACCGTATGGTCAGAAAACTTTGTGCTGATTTCTAAGACCCAGGACTGTGGGCAAAGGTTCTGTAATGTGGGTGGGCTTCAACCACCCATGCTAGGGCTTGGTGCCCTCGGACACTCTCTTACTGACACTATTTGCTGGGCAAGAGAAAGCCATTGTGTGCTTAATGCTCCTCGGCTGGTGGTTTGGTAGAGTTAGAAAGTTAACCAGCATGTATGCATGTTCACACAATAATCAGTGAGTCTCAGGCCAGAAGTGTCACTGTGGTAGTGGTTTTGAGGGTAGCAAGCCAGTCCCAAAGGCACAACACAGCCAGGAATCCCAGGGGGACCTGGCAGCTGTGTAACCTAATCTGGAAGGTGTAGGGCTCTCCACTCTTCCGCGGGCCCCACGTGGGCAAGGGTAGCTAGGAATCCAGGACACTCCTGGTCCAGGGCTTTAGGGAAAATTATATATCTCATCTTAGACATGATGAGCTGCAAGTTATCACTGGGACATGCCAAGTGAAGATAGCTGGTGGGCAGTTAGAGAGGGGAGTCTGAAGCTCTGGAAAGATTATGACCAAAGACCTAGATGTGGGAGAAGTCAGGATGGAAACTGAAATCATGGTGGTTGCTGAAATTATCAAGGGAGCCTGTGTAGCACATGGAGGAACTCCAGAGAGCGCATCTCTCAGAGGCCCGGGGGAAAGACCTTCAAGGCAAGGGTGGGCAACAGAGTTCAGTGCCTCCAAAGGTTAAGTAGATGGCAACCGGATCCTGTCCTTTGGATCTAGCACAGGCCATGGATGACCCCGAACTACAGTTTCCGTAGAATGATGGGGGCAGAAGCTTGCAATGAAGAGGGGAGAGAAGGAACGA